TGCTCTGCTGATGTGGAAGTCCCGAGAAGCTTCAGCCCAAAACACTATGTAGGACCAGAACTTGGAACCCTAAACCCCTAAATGGTAGTTTCCCCAAGTAGGCGGACCCCCCAATATAGACCCCAAAATATTCAAATCCTTGTTGTAGGGACTCCCAACAAGGGAACCCATACTTTTGGGCAACCCATGAGGTGTGTTGCCTTGCCGCGGACTCCCGACACCTCTGCAACGAGGAGCAGGGCAGGGGAAGAGGGCTTAGAGGCTTAGAGCATTATAGGGTGTCTGACCTGAAGTCTAGAATTTTTGGGGGTTCCGAGGTTCCAGTCATGGTAGGTAGAAGGTCATCAGGAATTGTAGCGCGACCTGCTGCGGTAACTTGCATTCTTAGTCGCATGATTGGCATGACTGTGCTTGAGCCCCTGAAGGCTGCACTGCTGAGAAGGCATAGTTGCAATTCCCTTGCCTTCTGGAATCGTTTAAGCCAGCCTCATTTGCCCAATCCTGTACAGTAGCCCTCATGACATTTGCATACCAAGATCGAGGCCCACGTATTTACCAATGCTCCCTTCAAAAGGGAATCCTTATAGGAGACGGCGATTTCGAGACAAGCCATTTGTGATCTGCAAATTTATACTGGGGTAATGGAAAATAAAATGGAAACTACTATAGTATATTGGGTTATATTGGGGTAATGGAAAATAAAATGGAAACTACTATAGTATATTGGGGTTATACTGGGGTAATGGAAAATAAAATGGAAACTACTCCGGACCTGATCCCGACGCATGAGATGAAACGTATATTGGCAAAAGCTATTGCGGATTGGGACTTTGCAAAAACAACCTCTAGAAACGGATCCCCATAATTCCTTCGTAATCCCTACATACCCCCTCCAGAGTCCACAACGAAGCTCCAATGCTCCTTCCCTTTTCACAGGCCGGCGCTAGTCGCAAGCCGCGGAAACCATTTCCGGATGCGGGGAAGCCCAGATCTTCGGTTTGGGCAGTTTCTAGGAAATATAGGGAGATTTCCCAAAAGAGGAGGTACCCCTTTTTTCCCAGTCAGATGCTGAAGCTGAAGTCGCGCTAGACCAAAGATGACCCTATGTAACAGCGCAATTCCAACTCCAAATTCAGAAGCCATAACCACAGCCAACAAAATCACTGCAAGTGTTTCTCTTGCTGAGGAGAGGACAGGGCTGGAATCGCAGATTTCGCAGGAAAAGGTGCGCAACAGCATCGTGAAAGCTTTTGGCTTCACAAGGGTGTGTGGTGGCACAGGATTTGTTGAAAATTCTGCGTGGTTCGTCCTACAGTTACTCTAAATCTATCTGCGATGAGATATTGCTCATAAAGCTTTGGACAAAGCCTGTAAACCCTAAATCCTGAGCCTGAGCTCGACATATGCACCCACTGACAGTAGTACCATTTTCCGAGCCACATACATTCGCATTGAAATACACATTCATCTGAGTCGAGTTGAAACAGGCGTTTTGCAAAATGCTGGCTGCCAGCCCTAAAGTACCCCATCTCTTACATCTCATCCCACCCCTTACATACACTCGAAACATCCTGAAGAGACACTACTGGTTGTTCCCTCTTTCCCCTCAGCCCTACATACCCCCACAAGTATACCCTTGAGCTAGACCCTTTTGACGTCGCCAAAGAAAATTCCTACTCGGGAGGCAGAACGCAATCTTGACCAAGTACAAGCCTGCACCCGGAACCTCGACGTATCTACCTAGAAAACAACAACGACAACGGCGGTGGTGCGACGACGACGAGAGATACTGCTGTTGCGCCTTACACTATGCGTAGTGTACTGCTACTCTGTTACCACTGCTACTACTACTACTACTACTGCCACTAACAACTGCTACAACTACAACTAGAGCCCCAACTACTGTACAACAAATACATAAACACCTACTACTCCTCCAACTACTAGTTCTAACCGCCACCGCCACCACCACCACCACCACCACCACCACCACCACCAGCAGGACCACGACGACGACGACTACTACTACTTCTACTACTGCTCCTCCCATCACTTCTAGCATGTCGGAATTCAAACCACCATTGCTATGGCCAGATATTCTGCAGGCGGATGAGCCGTGGCCACCTGAGGCCGAGGCTGCCTTCAGCGCCGCTTTCGCAGAGCCTTGGGCCTTTGCTGTTACTGGGTTGGTGTTCATGTGCAGGAACTTAAGTTAAGTGACTCTATCTAGGGAAGCCCGTTCTTGTACGATATACCGATATACCCATATTATTATGGTAAGTTCGTGTATCTTCCTTGACAGCAGCCCAGTTTACCTGCCTTGTTGGGTTCCGTGCTGCATGTTTGCACGGTGTATCCCACAAAAGGTAGGACGTCTGGGTTCCAAGTCGGTTTACGGCCTAGCGGCTTAGGATTCACTTCGCTTTAGTGTTTGCTGAGTGGCGGTTCTGCATTCTGGCATCTGGCCACAAGAAACTGCAGAGCTCACTTGCGCATGGGTTCTAAAGTATGGAAGAGCTGTGATGGCAGTGAAGATGCAAGAGTGCTCGCGAAGCCTCTGGCCTGCAGATCTTAGTCTCGCGTGGGTTGTTTTGTCCGAGTAGTCTGCGAAGTCTTGATGTACCAATGCATGGCAAGAGAGTCCTCGTTTAGCATCGCAGAGCCTGTTCCCGCAGGTGAATAACCATTAATTACACGTATAGTGCCACAGTTTGCGTAGGCCTTCAATGTAAGAAACGGAACATGTTGTTGTACTATTCTTTGGTTTTCTTCATCTGCTGTTTGCTTGCGAGGGTGGTTGTTGCGTTCTCTGTTGTCTCGGTCTTCTACCTCTTCCTCGTACTAGTACCTCTTCACGTACCCGAACTACTGCTACTACAGTTGCTGCTGTTACTGCTACTGCTGCTGCTGCTACTACTACTACTACTACTTCTTCTTCTGCAAGGACTACTACAAAAACACCACGACCGCGGTGGCGGTGGCAACGACGGTGACTAATATTTTCAAGAATTATCTCTGACCTCTGCCATCGCATTTGCCACCAGCTCATTACTATTTTTTGTTTTCTACCTGCAGTATCCACTTCTTCTTTTGGTTGTGCTACAATCAACGTACTACTACTGCCTCTGCGGCTGCAAGACAAGCAAGCATCCAGGCAACAAAAGTGTAAGAGCGCCCACCACAACTGCTGTGGAAAAGCCAACCCAAACGCCAGCGGTACACGTCAATACAACACTGTCTGATGATAGCGACCACTCTACCGGGTTGCTGTTAAGTTAAGGATTTTCCTGAAAAGCTATACTAAGGAAACCCAATTAGATATTAAATGCACATAATATGTTAACTTAAAGTAAGCTCCTTAACAGCAACCCAGTCTACTTCCATAGCCAAGCAGCCAGGGGATGGTCCTGTGGTATGCCTTTGGCAGACCTAGCACAGCTTAAGTCACCTACCTCGTAGCAAAGTTGTTAGCACTGATCTGGGGTCGCTTTAAGCATTGAAAGGTTTCAGGGGCGATAGCAATCATAGGAGGTAGTGTCACCAAATCAAGCGTAAAGGAAACTGTCATCGCACTCCAAACGCCTGCTGGTGGAAGGTGTTTGTTTGCTTCATAATGTGGATCGCGGGCATTGGGCTGTGATAGGGCTGTGCCAGGTTTCTGACAAAGGAACGCAATCGGGTTCGGATATGGGCTTGGGCGTGGAATTGGTTGTGCTACACCCACCTCCAGCCTAGCCTGCGAGCCGAGGAGCATGGTGCAGATCGCTTTCGCAGCACAAAACGGACCGCAAAGGCTGCGTTTGGCATCACTTTACTTTGCTGAAGGGTTTAATGCTTAGTTGTTTGACCCAGGCCTGCAACAATGCTTGCAGAAAATTCATTTCTAGAGACCTACGGGTTTCGCCAGCATCCCACCTATCCCACCTATATGAAGGAGCACTCGCTGCTTCTCACGCCCGTGTGTTTGTACGGGTTTGGGGATTTGCTTCGGGTGCCCGAAACGAACAAACCCTCGGGTTACTGGGGCTTAGCAGGGAGTAAAGAAACTCATTGTATAGAGATTGTAGTCCTCTGTGCCCTACTAAGAATCAGCAAGTAGGCTTGATGCCCGCAGAGTGCTTCTACTCGTGATAGTTGGGTTTTCAGCAGGAATAGCTGCATTAATACGAGGCAGCTCAAGCAAGTTACAGTAGTAGAGGCTGTCCTTGTCCATAATCGTCGCCATAGTAATGGCCATTAAAACAGGAATAGCATGATAGAGCTCTGCATGTATCCTTCTAGGGCAACATTTGCTACGGTGACTCAGTGGCCGTTGAAGCTTGCAAAATATGCTTTGATACATACTGTTCCAAACTGCCTAGAAATTGGAAAGTGTTTTGGGTGTGTAGTTCATGACTTCCCCTGTTGATTTCAAAAGGATCGCACATACTGATAGTTTCAAAGGGTTCTGAAGTGAAGCCTGGAAAACCGTTCAAAAAATACAGGACCAACCTTTGGTGGTGTAGGGTTTAGAAGGTTTATGGTTTAGGGCCTCGGGTTCAGTGTTTAGCGCTTAGGATTTAGCGCTTAGGATCGGCCAGGTGCATGCACAAGAATCCTTGCACAACTCTGAAGATCCCAAAAAACCGTACAATTCCCAGATATTGCTGGGGCCTTTAGGGCTTTGGCCTGCAGCTCGCTAAGGGATTCTGGACGCCAAATTTCTTGTGGGTGGTTGCTCAAGATTGAGCATGTACGGGTGTTCGGTTCTGAGCGTGTTCGGTTCTGAGAAGAATTCATTTGCGGAATTTATGGCCGAACTACTTCTCCAAGCTTCAAGTACGATACTTCACTGGGAGCTTTTGAGAACAATCCCTGTGAATTAGGTTCCCTTGAGCATCCCTTCACACCTTCTACATGCCCGATAGTATCCAAACCTTGTACCCCAATGTTGAGAAACTGGCCAATTGAGGATTTGGAAAGCCATCATCACTGCTTGTGGCCGCGGCCCCGTGTCACGCATGCAGGCGGGCAGACTGTTGCATTCAGGAGGATGCAGCGTAGGACTTAGGAGCGTTGACCATCGCCTGGACCCCGGAAAATGGGAACGGCAGTCTTTATACAGCCTGTTTTGAGGTTATGTTGAAGGCTCTCACTCTTGAACCCCAAACCTCAATCCAGCCCACTCCAATTAAATCCAAGCCACACCATGGGTGACCTTGTCCTGGGGGGAACCATTACCATCCCACGAATCAACCTCCAAAACTTGTGTCTCTTTTGGCCTTGTATCGGCTAGGGGTAGAAGCGCGGGGTGTAGCATACCATCTTGTACCTTCAGGTGGATGCCCGGCTCCGTCGACTGGAAGGCTGTCGGGTTGGCAAAGCTGCAGATGTACAGAAGGAGGACGGGACTTCAGTAGGTTCAGGGTCTGCCGAGGCCTCCCAAATGTCTGTAGCAATAGCACTAGAAGTACTAGTACTCGCATCTCAAAAAAAGCTTTTGGAGTCTCGAGGGGACGGCTGGAGGCAGGCGCACCCGTGTAGCGAGATCACGTATCTATCGTTATTATCATCCTCCTCAACGTCGAATTATCATCAGACATAGGCCTCCCAAATCAAGTTACTATATTATCTGAAATAGACTATACCATGACCATACCCATTATTGTGGAGTGAAATGCTGTTAACAAAGGTATCTGGAAAGTCTAGGCACACGCACACCGGAAGCTGCGATTATTGTTTTAGGTCTAGTGAGGTCTATGAGCATCGTCCCCCTGAAGCTTCTTACAAGTTTGAGACTCACAAGACAAGGGCGCATTGGGGTTCTAGGTCTATCACCAAGCCTGCCGATCCCGTTGCTCTTGGGCAGCTATGCCCTGTCTTAAAATCAGCGCGACTAGTTGGGGTCCTGGGCGGCTGTATCGAGGGAAGGGGGCGCACCTCCACCCCTAAACCACAAGAAATCCCCGACCTAGCCTCCCCCAAACTGATATCATAATCAATGCGTCTAGGCCTTCTCTTAAGCACACCGGGTCCCCGTTGTGCTTCATGCTTGGGCGGAACAGCTGGCCCCAGGAGCAAAATTCTGCTGGCCCGCTTTTTCCTGACGGTTGCTTCGACGCTTGGGCTTTTGTGCGTGGGTCCATATTGGAGACCTTATAAGGTGTGGAAAAGTACGAACACATAAGGCCAAACGTGTGCATTTGTCAGCCACAGGGTCCCGCCGCATACTATATTCCTTTAGGGTCCCCCTCTCAAAGTGGTAGAGGGCCTCAATAAGCGGTGCCCACAAGATCACGCACCTGGAGCCAGATCCTGCTGGACCTAAAGTCTATAGACTGAAACTCTTACCTTGAGGTGACCCTGAATGCTTTGAACCAGGTTAAAAACAGCATGCCAAGACACGGAAAGAATCTATTGTTTGTGTTTTCTTTGTGTCTACAGGTTCAAGAAAACTGACAGAAGAAACCGATGTTTCAGTGCCGTCGCGTCGAGGTAGTCGTTTAGTAGTGGTAGTAGCTGTAATTCGTAGTGGCAAACAGCAGCACCACCAGCAGTGGCGGTAGTAGGATGCAGTAGTGGCAGTAGTAGACAAATTAGCAGCAGCAGAAGCAGTAGTAATCATAATAAGAACAGTAGCCGAACCAACCAATCCCTGCAAGGACAAGATCCTACTGGATCCCTCTTGCTCGGCTATGGGCCAACGCCCCCTCCTCCGCTGGGGAATTTCTGCTGAGGAGGCCACATGGGATTTCCGGAAACCAGATAATTTGCAATACGTAGCGATTACAATGAAGATGCACGTGTACAGAAGGAGATATTGCAGGCTTTCCCAAAAAGTAGCATAGTTTCATCGGCTGGAAATTGTCTACGCCCAGAAGAGGTTCGAGCTTGGAACGGTATCAGCCACAATATAGCTGTGCCAGGGCTGCAGCGCAGCTATGTTCCTTGCCGCAGGGAAGCTTCGTGTGCTTTTCCACATTTATCGAATGAGCTTCCTGCTGTTTGTGCATAGGAGATTGGAGGAGCAGCAAGCATGGTCACCGGTCATCAGGCATACGGTTTTCATTGCGGGGTCTAAGGTTTGACCGATCGACCCTCCGTATTTGTGATGAATGTCGTTCTTACGATCACATTGGTACTAACCTCCCCTTGGTGCGGGTACCTTTGCGGAATCCTGCTCGGGTCCTGAACGTGTGAGCCAGCGCCGGTCTCCAAACATTTTGCATCAAATTGCATTGAAGCTTTCTGACCTCAGTCATTCATTAGACAAGCAAGGTCTGGAGTCTGGGATAATGTCCGCAGCCGGTCTGTGCAGAGCCTATACCGCACTGCTGCAGTCCAGGCCTAGCCCATTTTTAATCTTGGGCGAGCTATAAGGTATGTCGGGGGTGGGGGGGGGGCTGGGGGCCCGCCAAAACACGGGATTTTGATCCATGGCCATACCGGCTCACGATAAAAGCAAATTACATGCCACCAAATACTTGCATGTGGCCACTTCGACTCATATCTGCAAGCCTTTGCGCCGTCGCAGAACCCACTCTGAGACCCATAGATTGTAAGGTTTCCCCCTGACAGGTCAGGAGCCATGCAGACTACCAGAAGCAATTCTTGCGCACAGCCGTGCGACTGCTGGCTGAAGGAGGTCGGGGACGGGTTTGGAGGTTTGATTTGGCAGTTCAGATTTGTCTTCATCACAAGTATATTGAAGCCTATAAGCCTCAAACTCACGTCCCTATGTCCCCTAATAAAAGGATCAAGGTACAGAGAGTTAATTAGGATTCATCGGATCAGCTCGTGGAAATTAAGCTCACTTTGGTAATCCTCGTGAGGCCTTCATTCTGCGCGCGCAACCTGCCTGCTGGACTTCTGATAGTTTAACCTTCGATCTGGATCCAAAATGCTAGTCTCCAACCTCGAACCTTCAAGTTCAATTCCTTGTGTGCATTTTTCTATTATGCCTGCTGCAAGGCTTGCCTGCGCAAAGGCCTCACAGATTGAAAGTTACGCAGCAACACAGCTGTCCTAGGTCCTGGGAGGCCTCTGACTAGGGCACAGGGCCAGGTTGAACTCCAAAAACCTCGAACAGAGGCCGCGGACATTCGTGTTTGAGGGTTCAGGGTGGAGCGTTTAGGGTTTGGGGCACATTTGCTTGCGTACCTCACTTTGGGCTTGGCGTGCGCTGCACTTTGACTTTGTGCTTGTCACTTGCAGGCCTCTTTTGATGACGTGTGGAGCTTGTCAGGCAACCCCCTTTCCTACGCAAACCTCATGGTTGGCACATGCAGCGCGTCGTTCTTAAAAGTTTCCACATCATAACCCATGCTTCCTAACGAGGCTGTCATATGATGATCTGATGTGTGAAAGTGCCTTCCAGATTATGAAATTGTTCGAAATTTACAAGGATTCAGTGCCAGCAATGCTGACAGAACTCAGAGAATGTATTCTTCAGGTGTACATCTCATTAGATGTACATTTCAGTCATGTCGACATTCCTCCCGCAGCCCATGGAGGCAGCTGAAGAGCACTGTAGTTTACAGTCGTCGTGGTATGGATACTTCAGGATGTGAGAGAGGAAGTGCCTAGCCCCGAGAGCCGTGTCAAAGTTCTGTCCGCTCATACATTCCTTCACAAGACCAGGCGAGATGGTGTACAGCACCTGCACGCTGACACCGGAGGAGAATGAAGAGAATGTGAGCCTTGTCCCACATTTGGAGGTAGCGATGAATCACTAGCGGTGGCTTGCCAAGTGGGAGGGTTCTTGCATGGAGCCACTTTACATGTATATATGAAGGCGCAAAACCCTTGCAGCCAGAGAGACTCCACCCTCAACCTAGTCCAAGTCGATACCTGACTCTCTGTGGAACCGTCAACCCTTTCCAAGCCTGTGCAACGGGTGGATTTCATTTTCAAAGGTGAGATCCACCGAAGTCAGGTTTGATATCTTTTCTTCGTGTTTGCAGAAATAGAAGTTGCGCAGCAGCCAACAGCAACAACTCCTTCCTTCACACGAGCCACCTTCGTCGCACACTGGATACCCTCTCCCTTGGGTGGAAGCCCTAAGTCAAACTTGAACCTCAAATCGGCCAGCCCGCACCATAGCATCTTGGTCCTACCTCGAGCTCGGTAATGTAGACCCCTGATTAATAAACCCCCTTCCCTCAATGGGGATTATAATCGGAATCCTAATATTAGGGCCCTGAAAAGGGGGGGGGTTTATGAATTAGGGGTCTACATGAGGGCAGCGTAGGAAATGAAGGAACGGATCCGCACAGTCCTTCCCATACATCTGCATCCACCTTGGGTTCTCTCTATTAGGAAGGCCGGCCTAATGAAAGCAAGAACCTACACACCAAATCCAGAACCCTCTAGATCCTAAACCCCTAGCCCAAGCCTTCACCTTCTAAACCCTGACCCTGAACCCCAAGTCTAGGCATTGGGCGCTTAGTACCCTTCCAGTCGAGCTCCTTGATGCACGGCAGCAGGCGCTCCGCTTTAGGGCTTAGGCTCAAGAGTTTGATTGTCCTTTCCGTCCAATCGCGCAGAGCCGCATGCAAAAAAGGCTTATGGGGCTCAGGGTCCAGGCTGGGGAGTGTTGGGCCATTCGGACAGTCGAAAGCGAGGATAATGTGATCTTGAATGAGGTCCCAATCCAGACGCCCCGAACCAAAACACAAGCTCTGATCAAGCTCTCGGTCCTCAACCCTTTCACAATCCTATCATACCAGCCAGTAAGCCTTTCAATCAATAACAAACCCAGTGCGAAACGCATCTTGGAAGTGTGCATAAGGTATCCCAAGGCTCTCCACCAAACATCGTCATCAGCATCCGGACCCTTGAAATGCATCAGAGCGGTGATGGCTTTTTCTGAAAGCCGACAGTGTACAACTCATACGATAGCACCTTAAAGCTCTTGAATGCATGGTCAGCGAATCCTGGACCTTCCCAGCAGTTTCTGAGCCCAAAGCTCCCTAAATCCCTTAAGCCCCAAAGCCCTAAACCCCTTCAGCCCCAAAGCCCTAAACTTACATTTATCTTGTCATAATCCTTGTATAACCCCTAGAGGCTTTTCAGCCCGCCGAGCGGGACAGCGAGGTTTTGGCTGGACTGAGAGGCTGCGGACTCAGCGAGATCCTTGGCCAGAGGGATCCTCACAACCCTCAAAGGCCAAATAGGGTTTTAGGATTTTCGGGGTTTAGGGTTCTACGGTTTTAAGTTTTACTGTTTAGGGCCCTACGGATCCAAGTCTACAAATAATACCAATAATTGGGAATCAGCTGGAAAAAGGAAAATAGGAAATGACATGGAAACTTGGGTTAGAAAGAGGCTATATAGGGATCCAAGTAGATTAGTAAAACCTACGTTGGGCCCCAAAGACCGTAAGACATACCTGCATTGGGCCAGTTGGATATTAAGGGTTACACATGGTTTTATCGACCCTGGCTGCCAAGTATGGATGTTAAGCATACGCTTTCCACATATTCACGCCTCTTCCAAGCTATCTGGGAGGCACAGCAATATTTGTTAGTTTCCCGAATTGAAGGGCCCCAGCATAGATCCCAAATATCGTATAATCTTGAATATGTAGATCCCTTACAAAGGGACCCCTAATTTTGGGCATAACTCCCACGTGCCAGTTCTCCATGGTTTCTCTTGCATGCTCATACGAAAGTCTCAACCCCTAACACTAGATTCCCATGGCCGAGTCATGCCTGGAGCACTCATACAGTGGAGGGTTTGCATCGAGCATGGTAGATATGAGCTATAGTCTAAACTCCTTAAAGGGGGTTATATGGGAGTATTATAGGGGCTATGAAGGGAGATACTGGGAGTTTTTTGAGATAGCTCATATGGTAAGGTTACTGGTCGGCTTGAATGTAAATTCCCTCCCTGAATTAACTTGGAGCCTCATACAGCCCTTGTAATCATTCAAAAGGACAGTTTGGTTAGAAGGCGGGGACATCATGTGTGTATGTATGTGGATGTCCTGTTTTGGGGAAACCACAAAGCTGGCCTCAGGCCTCATGCGCTGCAATGCTGTGAGCAAACTTCCAGGTAATTTTTATGAGGACTTGTCCGAGGACGGAAACCGGAAGCTCAAAGCCCGGAACTTCCCCCTAAGTTTGTGGAATCATCTCAGCCCTAAACCTAACCTCAAACCTTTAACCCCAACCTCAACCCTAACCTAAACCCTAACCCCCCCCATAAGCCCTTAGAAGCTGGGAGCCCAGGAGCCAGCGGCTACAGGTTCTCCGCTTCGACCCACGTTCTTGGGATGCAGGCTGGGACAGGTTTAGGTTTTAGGGTTTAGGGTTTAGGTTTTTGTCCGCCAACTTAGGGTGAA